AGATCAACGGTGCGTTTGGATAGCAACAGAAAAATAATAAACAGTAACAATAACACTACACAGTAAAATAACTTTTTCAATAAATAGCACAACTCTTGCAATTTAGCATGATTTATACATAGGAACTGAGGGATAGCTACAGGTTTAGGCCAACAGTAAACCCCCATCCAACAACTAAAATATTGATAGACGATGGGATGAAACCTGTTTGTGAAATATATCTGAAACATCAAATCAATCCAATTATTTTATAACTCAGAAGCAAACAGATGTTGAAAATTATTTATGGGATAAGCACATTGTAATTTCCTTGAATGAAATACTGTATTTTGGTTTCTTGTTGATAACAATATTCAGTAAACTGTACCTGATGAACAACTTCATGGGCAACCACAGCTGCCACTCTTTGCTTGTTGGAAGCAGCAGATTCTTGTGAATCATACAGGAGATTAGTTTCTCTGTAAGTGATCAGCCCCCAATTCTCCATGGCCCCAGTGCCAAAATCTGGAATTGCTATTTCGTCTAAATGGAACAAGAAAGATGTTTACTTAGTTGCTCAAGCTCCTTCATCTCCCTCCAGTCACAGAACATCTGCCTCTCAGAGAACTGACAATAGCTACTTGTGTGTCTGCAACTCAGAAACTCAGTGCCAGGAATGATAGGATAATACTTAAGAATCAGTTCCATTCCTTTCCATTTTACCTTTCCACCAAGGCAACGTAGACACAACCATGCATAACATTCTAGAGAGCCTATAGATTTAAGGGTGAGAACATAACTGAAAGATTGCAAATGGTGTATGAAATATGGTGCCTCTTCATGAGTGTATCTATCTACCTGTCCACCTTCCCAACCAATGAATGAGATTTACAGTAGAATGTGTCCAGCAGGAACAGAGAGAGCAGGAAGAACTAACGTAAGAGGCAATCAAGGATGATAATAATAGTAATATAATTATTATATTCTGTTATGTTGAAGTTAAGGGCAATGATAAGGATCAGTATAAAATTAATCCATTTTACTGTCTGCATCATTAGGTAGTTTCCCAGTCACTGTTACAAATTTTCATTCATAGCTTTCCCTAATATACAACAACTTTTATATATAATTTTCTCTAAATAAAACTGCAAAACCTTTTTTTAAATTAATGTATATGATGTCATTTTAAAATATAAAATTCCCCTCATAAAAGTTATTTAAAACAAAGTATTGCTTCTAGATATAACTTTGAGAAACATATATTCTTTTTCAGATGTGTGTCTCAAAAAAGAGATTTATCTGCATGGATTTTTTTTTTTTAACTAAGGGAAGTGAGACATAACAGGGCTGTTTGGTGTAGCTATCCAGGCCAAGAATTTACAAATCTGCTCTCAGAGAAATCCAGAAACACATATGGAAGGACAAGATGGATGATGAACGTAACCCCTAATGTTACTTCTTTGGAGCAATATGTGTGTAGCACTGCACATATGCTGAGTAACCCCACCCTGAACTGAAGCTTGAATGTCACATGAGCAAATACTATAGAGCAAGTAATGGGACCTCTTACAGCCTTTAATGAAAGTGAGTCATTTCATGGTTCTATTGTAAACTTAATATTAAAAGGGCATAAACCCTTTTAATATGAAGTTTAAACTGTTTAGTCAAATTAGATAATGTGTAAGAAATGGGAGTTGGGAAATGCACATAATCTATATTGCAAAACAGGGTTTTGCAATCAGACGCACAGCTTTAAATGTAGTATGTAGTAAGCAGGCAATCTTTCCACATTCCGCCACACACACATGGTAATACTTTTCACTGATTTGTGTTTAATGCCAAACTAATTTCTATAGACTCTTCCTGTGATTAGGTTGAAAAGGGATTTTGTAAATGGGGCTCAGAAATATTTATTGACAAATTAATAAACTAAATCCACATGTAATGAACCACATCTGGTTCTATTCACCACAACATGCAGGAGCATGTCTTCATGGCAGGTAATCAATATTTCTTCAAATGAAAGTGATGGACTCTAGAATCCTTGGAGGGCTTACAATACTGCTACCTGGTCTACCTTGGAAGTCAAACTGCTTCTCAGAAGGACAAACTTAAAGCATGAACCTTGGATCTAAACAGCTTGAAGCCCCAATGTTTTCTTTATTGTTGTTCAACATGAGTTTCTCAACAGGTAGCTGATATACATTTTTAATTCAATTATATTTATATCTATCACAGTTAATTCAGCACTTGCTAAAATTTATTTCATCCTCACAGGAACTATTTTATTTATTTAAAAAACTTCTAAAGTGTCCTTTACTGGGTGGTCACAAACGTATAAATAAAAATATCTAGGGTGTAAAGGATGTAAAACATATTTAAAAATTCCTATAAATTCTTCTTAGGAGTAGATTCCATCCAATTCAATGGAGATATGATAAGCTTTTCTTTTATATTGACCATAGCATTTATAAAAGTGTTGCAAGTTTTTGGGTAGTTTGCCAGCCAAGACCTCCCTTCTGGCTTGATGAAGAGCCATCACCTGTAATTCATCATTTTGTCAACAAATATATTATAGTTAACTTTGTCACATATTTTCATGAGGACAAAAAAAAAAAAATACTGTGTTCATATACCAAACTAATAATGTTATCAAGGACGAGGAGAAGGCTGATCTCACATAACTTATTTTTTATAAACTCTTTAAGTAATTAAACCATTATTTTATCAATATTCACAGAGTGACATAATTTTGCCCTATCATCAACATTTGGGTAATTGTTTTCTAGTTTCCTATATTTTCATCCTACAGAAGATAGGGATACATTTAACCATCTTCATTCTTCAGCAATGGACATCATCCGTGCATCATCAAAAGTTATAACCAGAGTCCCCAATAGAATCTCCTTTTCACAGTTCACAAGCTCTTGCTTACTATTCATATTCAAAACATTATAAATGATTTGTTGGCACTACAATTTTAAATTATTTGCCAGAACATGGCAATGAAGTACAGTAAGTGGGACCCACATCTATAAACTACCCAAAGTTCAGTCATAACAATCAGCTATGGTTGAATGCCTTCCTTCGCATTGCTTGTCCTGATCTAAAGATTCTGCCTGAAAATTGTTTCCATTGTTTTCACTTTGGTCAGCTTATTTCTCCACCAGCATAGAAATGCAGATTAAAACTGCTTGGAAAGAGACAGATCTATCTGAGCAGACCATACTTGTTGATATGGACCAATAATTGGATGTCTATAAAAACATGACAGTGAGGCTGGAATATAAAGTAAGCAACCAAATGCCAGCTATTCATCCTTGCATATAATTTTCAGATTACACATAAACTGGAAACAAAACTTTTACATTCATTAAAAAAATCAGGAATAGAAATTTACCTAATTTTGGAAGAGAATAGTTCATGCTGAAGTAATCTTCAAAGTAATCAAATACAACTTTAGTTACATTTGCTGCATACTCAGCTGTTTTTATCTGCTGTGGCTGGGCATAAATGCGGAGCTGTAAAACAATGTAGAGATGTTATCAGAGATATTCTATCTTGATGCCATCTTTGTTCAGGTTACTTCATCTTCTGAAAGCTAAACTATGCAAGAAGCACCTTCTTGAAATTATTTAAGTGGAGCTGTTAAGTTAAAGACAAGTAATATTATTTTTTCAAGGCAGTAAAATTACATATCTTAACAGGTTTATTGTTAGTATCCTTAATTAGAAAATGTTCTAGTCCTGTATGCATAATTGAAAGTTGGACTTTCATAACGGGTTATCTCTGTGGGTTATTTATTAACTGATGTACTCAGCATCTTGCATTTAATACAACACCCAAGCATAAAATATATCAAAGTAGCCACAGATAATATTAAATTCTCTGAAAAGTCTAAAAAAATTTCAATACTGTGAGAGTTCATTTCTCTGCTTTAGATGACAGCATGACATTTCTTCTGTCAACATAACCTTCACTAAAGGAGAAAAGAGTTTGCATGAATCAATCTCATTCTTCCAATAGCCAATGTTTGGTAAGGTGCAATATCGAAACACTAGAGCAGTGTTTCTCAGCCTCGTCAGGTTTAAGAAGTGTGGACTTCAACTCCATGCTGGCTGGGATTCCGGGAGTTGAGGTCCACACATCTTAAGCCTGCCAAGGTTGGGAAACACTGCACTAGAGTAACCTATTTGAACAAGATACTATTAAAAGACAATTTGGGGCCTCTGCCTTATTTAGATTCAGAAAGTGTGGATCTGAACTGAAGGAAAACATAGTCTCAGGTACCAAATGTTTGCTCGATGTGGTCTTGAGTAGAGAATCAAAGAAGTGAAAGGGATTGAGGAAGTCATCTGACTCCTTCTCAATGCCAGGCTCTATTTTAATATTGAAAGGGCATCCAAAGTAGGCTCACATATTTGGAAGTTTATCCTATTATTTCATTGAAATCTGCTTCACTGACATTTCTACCAATTTTTCATCTCACACAGAGAAGCAAAAAGAGTTATCAGGGATTTGGAAGACCAGCGTGTATCCCTTGTACACATATCTATTAGAAGAAACTAAGCTTTTAAGCCTAGCATGATGTCATGGGGGTGGAATTTGATTTGAAGGAAACCTTACTATTTATCTTTTCATCCAAATGGTCTGGCAGCTCATCACAACCTTGACAGATATCTTGTGATTGCCATCTACTAGATACTACCAAATCACATTAACTCGTGATGGCCTAGAGCAGTGTTGTCCAAACTTGGCCACTTTAAGATGAGTGGACTTCAACTCCCAGAATTCCCCAGCCAGAATTCCCCAGTTGAAGTCCACTCATCTTAAAGTGGCCATGTTTGGACAACACTGGCCTAGAGTATAAATAAAACCAAAAATAAATAAAATCCAATTTAAAATCTAAAAAACAAGCAACAATATCAACAGGATAATAAAATATCAGTAGCTATAACCTTGAGATCAACCTTAATCTATAGGGAAGCAAATCATAACTTCAAGATCCCATCAAAGAGTTCCATTTTAGCTTCCTTCTAGAAGGTTGCAGGAGTAGGTGCCATTAGGTCCCTGGGAGTAAGGCTGTGTTTCCCAAGGTGGGGGTCCTGAAGATATCTGGGAGCTGAGTCACATAGGACTTTTTAGGTTAAAACCAAGACTTTGAATGGTTCCCCAAATTGGAAAGGATGCAAAGCATTTAAAAGAAAATTCCTTCTGAGTGAGGCTCAGCTCTTGTTGAACACAGGGGAACATCCCTGTATGTTTATTGCCAATACAGAAATGGTTTGCCTTCTCCTAAGATGTTTTTCAATTTCCCAACCTAGCCTAGGCCTTCTTATTGCTTTCTCCATCCAAGTAACATCCAGGTCAGGCCCTGCTTGGTGGGAGTGGGGGGTGGGAATCAGCCAAGCTTGGCTAAATGCTGCCACCTATTGTGTCAGATCACCACACATATTTGGTAGGCTGTAGTGTGCTTGGTGGCTCATATAAGGGAGTGGTTTCTTTTCAAGGCTGGTAGATGAATATTAGAACACTCTTCACAATGTATTATATTTAGACGAAGTTTTATTTCACATTTACTCTGAAGCCATTATTTCATTCAGATCCTTAGATAAAAAAAGAGCTTCAACTATCTTCTCAAAATTTAGCATAATTATATAATTCGAAGAAAGGCATGTTTCAAAGCTACAAAGTCTTTACTAAAGCTTTACAGCATGACTGTAAGAGAATTTTGTAAAACAGCACAATTAAGCAGAAAATGATGTGATCTCCTTTTGCAGATGGAGAAACTGAGGCAAAAATTACTGTTAACAGAGGCAGGGGAAAATTACTCAGTTTGCTTTTCATTTTGCAAAGCAAAACTTCCTTTAGAAAGATTGCAAAAACAACCAACCTACAACTTACTGGAATTCCACGAGATGAAATTCTTTCTGTATATGCAAACTGGTGCACAGCCCAGGCCACCAAGTAAGTACTCATTGGGACAGATTTCATGAATGTCGTCTTTGTCCAGCCGTTAGATAATGAATCTGTTTTCTGGGGAATAAAAGTGTGGAAAAATTAAATCCCTGTGGTTACAAATGAAGCATTTCTGTAAAGTAAACAACTGTCTGTTATGATTCTTTTATGTACAGAATGAAATCAAGAAATGTGATCTTTTTCATTGTTAATCTTCTTGGAATTTGGACTACATCTAATTCAGTTTTCTGTATCTCTCTGTTGTTATCTAGTGATCCTCTGAATTTTGCATCTCATTTATGGTATGCCTTACCAAGATTATCCCTTTTTTGTTGCCAGAACATTGATGAGTAGAATTTTCCTGCATGATTGCTTTTACTAGCTTACAAGACTTTTTTTTTCCTTTTGAATATAATTTTTATTAAGAATTTTAATTACAGTACCAAAAACTAAACAAACTAAACTTAGAGAAAGGGAAGAGAATGGATGGAAAAAAGAAAAAGTGCAGGAAAAAAGAAAAAGAAAAGAAAAGAAATATATAAAGAAGTGACTTCCAACCTTCATCACAATAAGTATAAACAAATTTAATAATTATTCACTCCCTATAAAGTTAAACAGATATCTCTTCATCCCATATCCTACCCTTATCTATAAGCAAATCCATAAAACATCAGGTTTCAATCCTGGTGTCAGCAAAAAGTCCATAAAGATTTCCCAGAACATTGTAAAAAAAAAAAAAAGTCTTATTTTAACCTTGATCAAATAAACCAACTTTATATTCCTTTCTTTACTTTTAACAGTCTTAAACTTTAATTCAATCAAATATTGTGTTTCAATCCTGGTGTCAGCAAAAAGTCCATAAAGATTTCCCAGAACATTGTAAAAAAAAAAAAAAGTCTTATTTTAACCTTGATCAAATAAACCAACTTTATATTCCTTTCTTTACTTTTAACAGTCTTAAACTTTAATTCAATCAAATATTGTTGTAGGATTTAATTTCTCTTCAATTCTTCTTTATCCCATCACACAGATTTTTTCAAAGCTTTAACAAGGCTCTTTCGTAGATCCAATAAGAAAACATTTTCCAGGTCATTTTCTTGGTTTATTGTTTGTATTTCCCTTTTAATTTTTAAAACTTCAGGCAGTTTCTTCTGTATATCCAGTAAAGTGTCCTTTTCCAAATCATTCTCTTGGCCTGTCATTTGTACAGTTTCTTCTGTATATCCAGTAAAGTGTCCTTTTCCAAATCATTCTCTTGGCCTGTCATTTGTAGTTCCACATTCTGTACTTTCTCTCTCTTGCCAGATAAAATTTGTTCCACATCTATCATTCCTTCATTAACGTCTTTTAGACATAGTCTATCCACAGAAGCAAACATCATTACTGACAGCATTAATATTGTAGTTCTAATTTCTGGCTCCATTCTTCAAAGATCTCCTTTAATATTTCTGATGTAACATTTTGTGTGATTTTATAAGTCCCAGTATCAACTAACATCAAGAACAGGCTTATGTTTTTTTTCTTCTGTTTAAAACCTTTAGTCCTCTCTAGTGTTCAGTTACTCAAATCATCACTTATCATTTGTTATGGCTTGCAAAAGCCAGGATAGCCAAAATAAGTCTGTTTCCCTTGAGAAGTTGTTTATTTTTATAGTTAATTCCAAAATCTTATATTAAAATTCAACATTCTAAATTTATCTGGACCCTTAATCCATTTATAACTTTCTTAGATCAAAATCTTACTTAGCTTTTTGCTGTTTATTTCAAA